TATGTTTGACTATATATAAGAAAAATAATTCATAAATTATACCAATTAACGCTCCAAGTGTGAAAGGAGTCAGTTTCTTCACGACAATGGAGTTTGTGGGTCGATTGCCGAGGAACACTTTATGCGGCAGGATCTTTGCGATAGACTCCGGAGACATTCCTGACTTCTCCAATTCAGCTTTAGCCTGAAAAAGTAAGAACTATTAAAATAAACTGCTATAACGTAACGTATAGAAAAGACTAACAAAACTCCGTCCGTGCGGAATTAAAAAAAAACTTGATGAACAACCTATGTGTTCTTCCAGACTATGTTCTATATGTATGTCAAATTTCAGCGAGATATATGCAGCCGTTCTGAAGAAACCTTACCAACATTCGCATTTATAATATTAGTAAATTAACTTAATACTGCTTTGTAAAGTTGTCTGCCTACCCCTCTGGGTAACGGTCGTGAGATTATAAACTAACCTCAGCCTCAGTCTTGCCTTTCATGAGAGCCTCTGTCTGCGCGAGGAAGTTTGCCAGCAGAATCTTGTGATGTATACCTCCAGATATCGGGTTGTGAGTCTGCGCGGGCGCAATGAAGTCACACGGGATCAACCTGGATAACAACGATCAAAAACTTACATTTTTTTATATAATACGAGAAGGCAAAATATAGAATTGGCCACAATTTGGAAATAAAAGAAGGTTTAATGCGATGCCTACTATACATATGACAGAGGAAGGAACTTACAGAAAAGATATTTCCTCTTCTTATATTTCTTCTCCTTTTTTGTTCTTCCAAAAAGAAAGAGCGCTAGAATCTGACCTTCTATTCTATTGGTTTCTACCATTGGTGCAAAAATTAAAAGGAAGGAAAGGGGATTTGATGGAGGAGGGGACGCATACTAAGGTGAAACATCTTTCTGTGCGTCTCCGTCGATTAAAGGTAAGCAACGCATCTACAAGGGTCGCTTCGCCATTTCGGCGAATTTAGGACGTTTGCTCGTCGTCCACCTTATAAGAAAAATGATGTCTTTACCTGGTACCCTGGTGTATAAGCTGGTAGAATGCATGCTGCCCGTTGGTACCAGGTTCACCCCACACTATCGGGCCGGTGCTGTAGTCTGCGCGCGCGCCGCTCCGCGTCACATACTTACCGTTGCTCTCCATGTCTCCCTGCTGGAAGTACGCCGCGAATCTGGATAAACACATCATCATCCCTCTTGTCTTATATATGATGTATCGGATTTTATCCCCCAGATTAGATCTATTCGTCTCTATCTAGTATCCTTCATAAACAAAAGAATTATTAGTATAATAATAATACAAGAAAAATAAATGTATTTTGTAATCCGCTTCGTCCAAGCAAAATTAAAAAAAAAAAACTTAGTAACATGCTTTCATCCTATGTTTTATATCTGTGTTCCATAAAGATCTGTTAAACGGTTCTGGACGTTACAAACATTCATACAAACTTTAGCATTTATAATAATTACCTATTTAAAAACACATTTACCTATGCAAATACTGGTCGTATGGCAACAGCGCGTGCGTCTCCGCGCCATGCAGATTGTGATACCACACTCCCAACAGCGCGAGGATCACCGGCGCCTGTACAAAATATACATACAATATTCATCTTGTATATTTAAACAAGTTGTGATCCGCGACTCCGTGTACGCGGAATTAAAAAAAAAACATAATTAGTAGTCTATGTGTTCTTCCAGACTACGTTCTATACTGCCAAATTTCATCAAGATCAGTTCAGCCGTTCTATACATACTTTTAAACAAACATCAATCCATCTAAACATTCGCACTTACAATATTATTAAGATGTAAGATTCAGACAGGAGTTATTTTTTAAATCATTCGTAGACAATTTATATCCGACTTGAAGGACCAATTTACAACAAAAATTTATCGAAGTCTTTTGATTGTAACTTACATTCTTCTCCAAAGGCGCGGTTGTAAAATGCTGGTCCATGTAGTTGGCTCCCTCTAGAAGCTTCTCGAAGTTGTCATAGCCAATGTACAGAGAGATGGATAAACCGATCGCCGACCATAGAGAATATCTATATACATAGACACACTTTTATAAGAATTATATCATAAAAAAAATAATACACAAATTAATTACTGGCTAAAAAACAGATATAGAACGTTAGAAGTGTTATTTAAGTTGAACTAATAAAATATGAAAATACCTTCCACCAACCCAATCCCAGAATCCGAACATATTCTTGGAGTCAATACCAAAGGCGGTCACCTTCTCGCCGTTAGTCGACAACGCAACGAAATGCTTCGCCACTGCCGACGGCTGAATAATAAAAAAAATATATATTTTTAAACCATAATTTTGGTTTCCAATCATAAAAACCCATACGAAAAACTTTTTTTTTCAATTATATAAAAACTCCAAAAATAACAAATAAATCTTATCTTATCTTTATTATTTGCAATTTAATGGTCATCATGATCATCTCTCTGTCCTTTTCGCACTAAGGTAAGGTAGTCACAACAGTTTTCGTCCACCATATTGATCTGTCATTTCTTTCACTTAATTTATCATTTAACGGTAACATTACGTATACCAATAACTTACATCTTTAGCAGCTTGCAGGAACCAGTTCTTGGCCGAGGTGGCATTGGTGATGGTCTCCTGTGTGGTGAACGTCTTGGAGGCGATGATGAAAAGTGCTGTCTCAGGGTTGAGGCGCTTTAATACTTCGGCTAGATGCGTACCGTCGATGTTTGATACGAAGTGTACCTTATAACAAAGTGAGTAAGATTGAATTTACAATATTAATTTTGATAAATCTATCCTCCAATCTCTCGATGTTTAGTTTGTTGTAGTTTTATATAGGTCTGTCTTGTTTGTTTGTTAGAAGTAAATTATTAAAAAAAATATTACCTTAAGATGATTGGCATAGGGTTTGAGGGCCTCGGTGACCATAAGAGGGCCAAGGTCTGAGCCGCCAATACCAATGTTGATCACATCAGTGATCTGCTTGCCGGTGTACCTGAAGATTAGATTAAATATGTTGATTCATATATCATAGAGAAATATTTATCAATATAAACTTGACATCTTTCTTTTTTTATATAATGCAACACCACCTTACTATCAAGAATAAAGAATGTCTTTGTTCTGTTGTTATTCAACTTTGTTTTGATGATTAAAAAGTATTTACTTAAGTTGTTGCCAGTATACTATGATGAAGGAAGAATTATAGAAAAAACTAGCTGACAGTGCGGAATTAAAATAAAAACTTAATAAGTAGCCTATGGTGTGTGCCAAATTCCATCAAGATCCGTTGAGCCGTTCCGGAGATGCCTTCATACAAACATCCATCTTAACATTCGCATTTATAATATTAGTAAGGCTTGTACTGACCCTTTCCACTGTCCGCTGATAACTTGCTGTGAGAATTCCTTCATATGAGCCAGGACAGCATTGACATCAGGTGTGACATCTGCATCATTAACCAGGATGGGCCTATTCTGTCTGTTACGTAGAGCAATGTGTAAAACTGCACGATTCTCTGTGAAATTTATCTTCTCACCTGGAAATTAAAGTTAGTAAAGACCTGGGATATTACTTAAGTGTGTTACATAATTTATTATTTTGACTGGTTTTAGCCTGCAACTCCGTCTGCACGGAATAAAAAGTAAATAATTATTAGTAACCTATGTGTTCTTCCAGGCTATGTTCTACAAGCCAAATTTTACCAAAATGCATTGAGATATTCAGGAGATACCTTCTAACACACATCTAATCTAAACTTTCACATTTATAATATTAGTATATAGTTTTGACATTGAAAATGTGAAGTTGCTCGTCATCTTACCTGTAAACATAGCATCTCTGGCTTGTTCAACTCCTCGACTTTTAGCCAAGTTAAGGAGAAGTTCAAAAGCTGTCGCATCCAATCTGTTCTTAGAGTAATCCAGTAAAATATCACCATCATTGGGTGTTGGTAGACATAGACTGAAATATTTTAAACACACTAAGAAAATGTTACAATAAATGAGAGTATTGCATCATAAGGAAAATATATCATGCATGGTATATACTCAAAATTGTTGCGTGCTGCATATGTTTCACATATGTAATTTTAATTAATATATAAATAATGACATAGTAGAGCAAAGAAAATTATTATGTAATTTATTTAATATAAATATAATAAGCCTATTTGTTATGCAAATTAAATCAATGTAATAACAGGCAAATATTCTGTTATTATTTTTATATTACATATTTATATAGTGGATTTAATCATGTTCTTAAATTATAGATATATAGAAAACATATATTTTTATATATTTGATATATTATTTAAAATAATTCCATTTCTGAAAGTATTTTTTCGATCGTACATTCAACCTTTGACATTGCTTTGTACCGACGACCTTTTAAAAAAGTTTATGTCATTACTCTTAAAATAAAAGATAATAAGTAACTAATTAGCTTAAACAAGAATTGACATATATTAACCAGTCATAAAACAATATGTTAAATTGCATAAATATTCAACTTCATTGAAAATAATATTAATTAGGAAGTACCTGAACTTTTTAAATCTGTCGGCGTCTTGTTGGAAAAGTTGGAGAATATTAATTTTTTCGGCGTTAGCATTGTAATACTCTTGGAGTTTTTTATACGCCGGATCTTGTTTTAAATTAATTTTCGGCTCCATTTTATTTGAATTAATTACACAACACTTTTGAACACGAAAGCTTGAACACTGTCGTATCAACTTTGATAATGTACGTCTTGTTGACATTTCAATGACACGCGAAGGTTATTGGCGTTTTGATATTGCTTTTGCTCTGCATTCAAAATGACGTTCACATTTAATGCTAGAAAAATATTACTAAAGATATATAAAACCTTTTTTACTATAATTATTATTGTTTTGGATATTATAAAGGTAAACTATTTTTCATTTCGATTAAAAAGGTTACATTAACTAAAAACACAATGAAACTCGAATCATGCTTATACTATTTTATTTAACCTTTTCAAAATAATTTATGTTGTTATAATTTTGTCTATAAAATCTCGCACGGCTGATAACTTTGTATAAACAGCTGGTATTCCGACTTGACCGCAAGTCGTCCGTCCATACGATACAAGTCCGACAACTAGATTCTGATATGTGAGTGGTCCACCACTGTCACCCTGGAAATTCCTGGTTTTAAATCATGCGAGACAGACTGTCACACTTAGTTGTTAATTGGTTACTAAAGGACAATTAAGATTAGATTATTAACACTTAGAGATCGTTAAACGACGCTTAATTCCGTTTATTAAAATGGTACATCTTACTATTATATTATAATATTATAAATGCGAATGTTTAGATGAATGGATGTTTGTTTAAAGATATCTCCAAAACGGCTGCATGGATTTCGTTCAAATTTGGCATAGATAAGATATTAATAGAGCATAGCTTGGAAGAATACATAGGCTAATATTTTTTTTATTAAGCGCGGACGGTGTTCCCGTCTACAGCTAGTTCTTATTTTAATACCACCAAAGCGTACCATGCAGCTATCTTTGTCAGTTCCTCCTGCGCATATCATCCTTGACGTTAGTTTCGAAAAGATTTTCTTACAATCATTTTGGTTAACATAAGGTATTGAAACACGTAAAAGTTCATTGGAAAATGAATTTTCTTCCGACTGAAAACATTGACCATATTGACAGAAATAATATCTACAAGTTTAATTTTAAGTGAGACGCGAAGGAGAAATATTTCTCGTATGTTTATAAATAAAAGAGAGTAGATCGCTGAAATGATTTAAGGTAAACCAAATTAAATATCGTTCATGACAACTTAAAAAAAAAGAGTATTCTTAAGACTCGATTTATGATTATTTATTAATATGGGAAAGTTAAGAAATGGTATATTTATTTATTATTCTTAATATAAATAGGTTATAAATGAGAACGTCAGGTTCCTGGGTTTGAATTCCGCTATGTACCAATATATTTTTCGATTTACATATGTACATTTATCCGACGTTCTTACGGTGAAGGAAAAAATCGTGATGCTTTGCACATATCAGAGAAGAAATTCACAGATATGTGTAAAATCAACCAACCCGTGGGTCATCGTTGGTTGTTTGTGGCCTAGTCACCCCTAACTTAGGATAGGCTCCGGCAGTGGGGAGGTATAGCGAGCTGATGATAAATGAATAAAGTGTTTTTTTATTACCGAATTTGTCAAACCAAAGCCCATCGTATCCAACATCACTCCATCGTCTATTTCCAAATCATGTGAAGCCATTTCTATTTTCTGTACTCGATCATTAAACGTTAATTTATCTTTTATTTTGATGACTAATACATCACAATCATTATTATTTTGGTTGTATTTTGGATGTATAATAGTTTCTTCTATGTCATAGTCTACTCCACCTTCTAAAGCGTGATCAGTGCCGACGGTTACTCGGTATTCTGGGATTAATTTTCTGTAGGTTGAAACATCATTGTTAGTGGTGAGTCCAGCCTCTTAATATATTGTTATCCTTCTTATTTTCTTCGAAAACGACAGAGCTAACATGCGTTACAATATTTGTAATTTGACCTTGACCTTGAGCCCCCAAGATATTTGCGTGTTGTGCAGTGACCACCCTCCGCACACGCGATGTAACCCCCGAGATATTTGACATCTACTATAATCATTTATGATTCTAAATAGGATTTAAAGTTTTAAATGGACGTCTTTATTTCTAAAGGAACTAACAATTTAAATTCAGTTACATATTTCACATTTAAAGATTAACATTATTTGTGTCGCAAAACCTTTTTTGGGTATCAAATTTTTCAATAGATTCTGACGAGTAAAGGAAAAAATCATTAAGTATGTTTTAAATATTAGCATCGGTGGCTCAGGGGTCAAGCACTTGACTTGCAATCCGCAGGTCCTGAGTTCGAATCCCGCCATGTACCAATGTGTTTGTCGATTTCCGATTTACATACGTACATTTATCCGACGTTCTTACGATGAAGGAAAACACCGTGATGCTGCACATATCTGAGAAGAAATTCAAAGATATGTGTGAAGTCAACCAACCCGCACTTGGCCAGCGTGGTTGACTATGGCCTAATCCCCCTTGACTTAGGGTAGGCTCCTCGGTGAGGACGTATAGTGAGCTGATGATCATGTTTTAAATATAATTTACTTACATATAACAATGCGCTGCAGATATAAGAAACTTTTCATGTATTATGACAGCTCCACAGTGATAAGGCGATACTCCTTTACCTTTAGGTCTATATAATGCCATGAATGGCACATCCGTTATTGATACCGGACTGCCATTTATTATTCCCGCTTCTATATAATCCGCTAATAAAAATGTCACCCAAATTATGATAATTCAACACAAGTTATTTAAATACTCCTTAGTGAACAATTAATAGCGTCGGTGGCTCAGGGGTTAAAGTACTTGACTTGTAATCTGCAGGTCCTGGGTTCGAATCCCGTTATGTACCAATGTATTTTTCAATTTACATATACGTTTATCCGATGTTACGGTGAAGGAAAACATCGTGATGCTGCACATATCTGCAAAGAAATTCAAAAATATGTGTGAAGTCAACCCGCACTGGGCCAGCGTGATTGACTATGGCCTAATCACCCTTAACATAGGGTAGGCTACAAGCCCCTCGGTGGGGACATATAGTGAGGTGATGATGATGAACAATTAACGAGTCGAGTGTAGCACTAACCATGGGTTTCTGACGCTAAAACATCTGTATAAATAATATTATCATCCCTGTCATTATGTTTGACAAAACAGAGATAACGATATGTTTTAAACGAGGATTTTGATCTCAGAAACCCACGGTAAGTGCTATTTGTTTTTAATACATAATAATCTACACACATTTAAATACTTTCAACAAATACCTACCATTAATATAATTGCGCCAAAATATTGTTAAAATTAAAAACACATAAGTAATAGAACTTCTGGTAATCATAGTTTAAACAATTCGTTCAAATAACTGAAATGTTTTTTTTTTAATAAATTTTCATTTTTATACGCTTATAAATTCCTAGAAAAGCAGGTGTAATAAACATTTTTCAAATCGTTCAAAATATTCTATGTAGGGTTTTCTTATTTTTTACGGCTTACAGCGTTACCCTGTTATAGATTTTGATATTACTCTGTTCATCCCTAATAAAAACCTGATTATTATAATATATATCTACTAATATATTTAAATGAGCAATTCTTGGATATATATATATATATATATATATATATATATATATATATATATATATGTATGTATATAATTGGAATCTCGGAATCGGCTCCAACGATTTTCATAAAATTTAGTATATAGGGGGTTTCGGTGGCGATAAATCGATCTAGCTAGGAATCATTTTTAGAAAATGTCATTTTATTCGTGTTTCATTGATATTCAACTTAAACATAAACATAACTTTTTCTATCGGTAAGATCGAAAAATATTATTCATATTTCATCATTTTATTAGTTATTCTTACTTAACACAATTTAAAAAATACCGAGCAAAGCTCCGTCATCTAGGTACTATCTACTATATATCAATATAATAACAGAGTACCCCTAAATAATTTGAATATCATACAAATATCTAAACCATAAATTCTAACTTTATCACAACATAACAAATAATTGCAGATATTCTAATATCTATTATTTTGCCATAACGTTAAAATAGTTGTTAAAACAATACACATTTCTTATTAATAATAAAATTCGAATGTTTAGATGGATGTTTGTTAGAAGGTATCTTCATAACGACTGCATGGAACTCACTGAATTGACAAAGATGTAGAACATAGTCTGGAAGAACATATAGGTTACTAAGTTGTTTTTATTCGCGCGGAGCCGCGAGCGGCAGCCAGTTGGTAAATAAAACAATAATAAAACTTATTTTTTTTTATTCAATGTATCATATAATCTGGGTTCAAAGTAAAATAATATTGAATAAGGTTATAATCTATTTATTACATAATAATTAATCTATTCTTGGTTATATTTTTTTTAATTAATCATTGAAATTGAATACGCATTTATTGGTTATGTTACAAATTAATTAAAAAAAAATCCTAATAGATTCAGTTATACGTCCATTTTACTAAAATACAAATTCTACTAAATCATGTGCACAAAAATAAATATTTCTTCGCGGAAAAACTGACGTTCGAATTAAAGACCTAAAACCATAGATTTATAATCTATAGATATCTAATACGCAGCATAAAAAACAGACAAAAAAATAATCTCTGTTTTTTTGCTAACTTTTTTTAGTTAATGTAATTTACTCATCAAATGACATATCGAAAATCGACTCGACAGTCAAATTCGTATAAAAACTCCATCTATCTATAGATTATAGATCTATCTTTAACTGGCCATTAATTTTTTCTGAATGAAATGTTTTAAAATTTTCAAATTGTTGACTACCCCTGCATAACTGAGATTTCTTAATAAAAAAATAACAAATATTATTTATTAATTTCATTATAATATAAATTAAATATTTTTTTCTAGCACAATTATGCGTAGGAATATTCTAGCAAATATTACAAAAAATAATAGAAAAATATATTTTCAACCCAATACAATAACGACCTTATAACAATGAGATAAGGTTTAAAATCTCATATTACTTCTTTGAAATAAATTGCAGCACGAATTTCTAATTTTAATCAGAGTTTTCAACCTGTAATTACAAAATAGACTTTAATAAGTCACTTTAAGGTTTACATTCCTATATACCCGATACAAAATATCAAAAACAACTTTAACACAAAGGGATAAGGTACATAATCCCATATTTCAAAATATTTTAATTATAAATTTATTGTTTATCACATTGGTTACGAAAGTTAAAAGACAATCGACTTTAATACAATGCCTTAAGGTACATATTCGTATGTTAGAGAACGTACCTATACTACGTGACCCGTTTAGGGGGGGAGCGGAGTCTTTAAAATACTATGGTCAGTCACAGGAGCGGAGGGGGGGGTCACAGATTTTAGTCACGTAGTCTTTAGTTGTATTTTTCATAATACGTAATTCACTAGTAATTTAAGTATGCATGCAGTCTTATGCTATAAATAAGAGTATGAGCCAAATTATTTCTTTTTTCAATTTTTGCCTGTGAAATGACTAAAAATCTTCTTGGCATGTACTACGGGTGGTCACCGAGGGGAGGGAGGGGTCGAAAAAACTAAAAAAATAGGTCACGTAGTATGGGTATTTTCCCTAACAACAATATAAAGTCGAAAATATTGATTACATTGAGTTTTATATCCCCATAGTAGTTTCAATCTGATTACCACAAGTTAATAGAGTAAAAACGACTTTAACCCAACGTATTAAGGTTCAAATTCCCATATAGATATACAAAATCGGTGTTACTGTAATTTCTACCTTATTACAATGCAATAAAGATGCGTTTCTTATACAATGCGACGCCTACAGCAAGCCACATCAACATGGCGGCGGCGTGTGTAGCCAACAGTTGGGAATGCGTGGGCGCAGCAATATGCCAGTGCAGTGGGAAATTACGTTTCAATAGTTCACTGCCGATGTACAAGAATAATGCGTTTTGACCTGCAAATAAAAAAAATACTAATATAAATGCGAATGTATAGATGGATTGTATGTATAGACCAACACGCACTAGGCCAGCGTTGACTATGGCCTAATCACCCCTAACTTAGGGTAGGTTCCGGGCCCTATTATGGGGATGTATAGTGAGCTGATGATAGATGGATTGTTAGAAGGTTTCTTCATAACGTCTGAACTGATCTTGATGAAATTTGGAATATATAGAACATAGTCTGGAAGAACACTAATTAATATTTTTGTTTAATTTCGCACGAACGGAGTCGCAGGCGAGAGCTAGTACTTAATAAAAGTCTACCAAAACTTATTATGTTTTGGTAGATGAAAAAACACTTATTATATGGCACAGATTTAATTAAAAAAAAGCAACTGACACAAAACTGACTCATCCATCATACATACAAAGTTTACTCACCAGCATAATACAAAGGTCTTCCTCCCCACTTATTCTTCAGATCCACGAGGAAATATAGTGCTGCTTGTATGAAGAATGCCATCGATGATGTCACTAGACAATATGACACCGACCACAACGGCTTGTTGACTGGTATTGGTCCACCATCCTTTGTGAACATACACAATGCCCCACCAGATACTCCGAACACAACTGACCAGAACACCCAACGCATTATACGAGCTCTGAAAGGTAATTAATACCTTAAATTAAAATAAATTTGGCCGTGGCCTATGAGGCCAACTTTTTGGTAGACACATGGTGTCTCTCATGGCACTCAAAAGGTTAATACCTCTAGTCAATAGTCTATATAGATTCAAAATCTAATAGTTTTTTTTAGTAAATTACCTAAAACAAACAAATATAAAAATCTTTTATGTTAAAATAGAAAAAAAAGGTTTTCATAATTAAAAATTACTAACAATATTTGGTGCCGAAACCCAACTATAGCCTATTTTCAGTCAGAGTCATAACTTTAGTCCTATTTCCCTTCCCCTTTTCTTATAAGAAAAGGGACAGAATACACGGAAAAGATGACATAAGAAGGGGAAATATTCTCATTCTATGCGTTTTGTCTATGGACAGTAGAATAAAAAAAAAATCGTACCTAGCATGGTTATAAGCCAGCATGATACGTGTTGCATGAGCTCCCGCCTGCACGACCAGCACGCCGGACAACACGCCCAGAATGCCCTCCGGGTCGTAGGGCAACTTGGTATGGTACACATCACGATATCTACCACCCTTGTATAGATGTGATGTGCCGAGGATCAATCTGGAAAAAAATAGGGCAATATATATATAAAAGAAAGTCGTGTTAGTTACACTATTTATAACTCAAGAACGGCTTTACCGATATGCCTGAAAATTGGTGAGGAGGTAGCTTAGAGCCAGGAGACGGACATAGGATACTATTTATTCATTTTTTTTCGAATCTATGCCTTGAAGCGCTGCTTTTTATTTAACTTACTAATATTATAAATGCGAATGTTTACATGGATGTGATGTGAATGGATGGATGGGTGGGCTACACTAATTAAGTTTTTTTATATAATATATCCACGCGGACGGAGTCGCGGGCGACAGCTAGTAATATAGTAGAAAACTATATTATTTTTCTTAATTAAAAAAAGGGTCTTGACAGACAGATGGACAACAAATTGATCCAATAAAGGTTTTTTCCTTTCGAGATACGAAACTCTAAAAATACTCTACAATGAAAAAGCTTTTGAAGATATTTTGAGCAGATATTATAGATTTTTATTCCAACTGGAATTTAAAAAAAAAACTTAATTAGTAGCCTATGTGTTCTTCCAGCAAGATCTGTTCAGCCGTTCCGGAGATACCTTCAAACAAACATCCATCCATCCGTACATTTAAATATTCACATTTATATTAGTAAGATAAGTTTTTACATAGAAAATTTTAAATAAGTAAAAAATGTTTTACATTTTTACTAATATTATAAAGCGGAAGAGTTTGTTTGTTTGTTTACACTATCAAATCTCAGGAACTGATGGTCCGATTTAAAAAAAAAATTTGGATAGTCCATTTATAGAATGCTTTAAGCTATATAACATTACGCTGCGACCAATAGTTTTTTTTTTTTATTCAAACAGCTAGCAAGTAATATAGATAATATAAAATTAATATTTTTATTACTAAGATTCACCTGTCAATATATCCAGCGATGCCTCCAGTGCAGTTCTGTAAGGTAAAGTCTCCGGAAGCTGTACGATGCAGACCTCCCGGACCGGCGTAGCCGCGGGGACAACCCGGCGCAGCCACGGTAAGAGTTATACACATCTATTAAAATAAAATATATAGTACAATCAAAATATCAGTCTTCTTTCCCTTCCCACCCTTTATTTACAGGAAAAAGGACGGGAAAGGGAAATGCATTTGACGAAGGGGGAAGGGGGGGGGGAATATCCTCCTTTAATATGTCCCCTCGCAACGCATCTGCAATGTCTATGGATAGCGGTCGTTTCGCCATTTTGGCGAATCTAGTTAACTAATTCGTTTGCCACTTTATAATATAAACAAATCTAATTCGTAATGAAAACATCGTTGAATCCGTCGTCCACACGTAAATCACGGGTTTATGCGTTTAAATATTTCTGCTGAGTATTCAGGGTGACTCTGGGTATGATTATTTAACGTACTTGTATAGCAACTAGAAGTAATGTCGCAAGCCATTGTTGCCATCCAGCGGTGATATCACGGAAGAGGGAACGACCTGGAAATTACAATTAAATATCAAAGAAATCATATAACTATCAAAATATAATTTACTAGCTGTCGCCCGTGGCTCCGTCCGCGCGGAATAAAAAAACTTAATAAGTAGGCTATGTGTTCTTACAGATTATTATCTACATCTGTATTAAATTTCATCAACATCCATGCAGCCGTTCCGGTCATACCTATTCCCATCTCCTTACCTGGTGTCATATTTTGGCTGGTCCTCATAAAAGCGCACTCCAAAGCCCCAACTATCAGATACATTGCTGCAAGACGCTGCAGCACTCCAGGTAACCGCACATCACTCCAAGACACGTCCACCGAGCTCAGGCAAATTCCAATCAACGATAGGAATAACGAACGCCGCGCCACCTAGTGGAAAATGTATATCTATTATATGACCTAGACTGGATTTAAAGTTGTTCGATAGTTAAATGGTTAGGATATATCTTTGGAAATGTATGCTAAGGTTGGCTACACTACTCAGAAACGTTAAGTAATGTAGTAGTAATGGTAAACTAAGCGCTACCTTAGGAAATAATGAATCTGAGTGCGACCACTAGAATTTAACCGCAAGTTCAAGTAAAACATTTTACCAATTTTTAAATTTACTCATTATGTAATACAAAATTAACTTGTAGGGTTATAAATCACGATAAATAAGATTCGAATATTCAAAAAGCAGTTATCTTGTCTACATACCTGACCAAATGCTGACAGTCTCGGCAGCGAAGTCCTAAGTCTGGCATGCAGTGAGAGCACTAGGGCTTCGCCCATCGCAAACGCAAACCATGGGAACACAACATCAGCGACAGTTAGACCATTCCAAACAGAATGCTTGAAGATGCCATAGCCACCGCCACCGGCGTTCACGAAAATCTAAAAAAAAAAATGTTTTAATCAATGTTCGTGTTAGTCCTTAGCTTAGTCCTAAATACCTGGATATCTTTGATTTATATTTTTATTATAATTTGACTAGCAGATGTCCTGAAACTATCAGAATTTAGTGACCTTAAAAAATTCTAATATTACAAATGCGAATGTTTTGATGGACGTTTGTTTGAAGGTATCTACAGAACGACTGTAAGGTTCACAATGAAATTTGAAATTGATGTAGAACATAGTCTGGAAGAACACATAGGCTACTGAGCTTTTTTTATTCAGCGCAGACAGAGTCGCGGGCGACGGCTAGTATAGTGAACGAAGTTAGTTAAGGTTGTTTAAATTAGTTTCTAAATTTTTCTAGAATATTCTTTTTTTCAAAAGGAATGAAAATAGCAATAACTTTTTATATAATTAAGCATACATTTAACCAAACATTACATTCCGTGAGTTTGCATCTGTTAAAAAAGGTTTAATATTTGATCTATACAAAATACATACCATAAGAGCAATAGAGAATCCTCTGAATATATCAAGAGATCGCAACCGAGAACGCGTTGGAGATCGAGGAACACTCGCTTCAGTTGTTAAGACACGTGTTTCCGATCCAAGCTCATTATCCTCCCTGATAACAAAGTGTTTTAACTAAAAAACTACTAAACTAAGGAACTTTAAATAAAAAAAATATCTGCTCAATACTTTATAAACATTCATGAGACATTATACTAAACTGATATATAAAAACGGCTTAACCCTCACGTATATTCGTCCGGTGGCGGCACCGACTAGTTTTGAGCCCATCGGGGGCCCTACATCAGGATGAGTGGTACTGGTATTATTTCGCGGACGCGGCCCGTCGCTCACTCTAACTAGTATGTGCCGCCACCGGACGAATATATGTGAGTGTTTAGATATCAGTTTACTTTATAAACAATACTTTCCAAGCTAAAGATATCTTTTGTAATATTAGTTAAGGTAGGAATAAAATTACCTTGCAAAATATCTCGCATAAAACCTTCCAGCAACCACCCTCTTCCCAATTCCTTTGACAATGTACCATAGTGTGGCCATAGACAATAACACCACTATAGCTGTGAGTATCGGAAGGAAGGCGGCATCTGGCTCCGCTGTCATACGCGGCTGGCACTCCTCAGGCCAGCCATTTGTTAAGTTAAGGGAATACTGTCCAAATTCACCGAAAGCATAGGTCCCTATGAACAAAATGCAATAAAAATATATAAATTATAGTAAAAAGTAAAATGGCTACATGTCCTTCGATTATATAGCTTTTCATTAAAGTATCTCTAATCTTACTAATATTATAAATGTGAATGTTTAGATTGATGGATGGATGTTTATCAAAAGGTATCTCCAGAACCGCTGCATAGATATAGCTGAAATTTGGCATAGAAGTAGAGCATAGTCTGGAAGAATACATAGTCTATAATTAAGGTTTTTTTTTTCATCCGCGCACATGGAGTTGCAGGTGACAGTTAGTTTTGTTATAAAATCTTTTCATAACATACAAATTTATCAAATACAGAGAAGACTTTTTAAGCTTATTTTATCATAAACATCAAGATTGTGTCTTTCAATGATAAAGAGTTAAAATCTAAACAAAGCATAATACTACTTTACATAACAACAGTAAATATTTACTATTTTATCTAAACAGTAACAATAAAGTAATATACAATTTCAAGCCAACATAAAAATTTATGTAAACATAATATGAAATTCATAATAGTGTTTTTTTAGTTATTTATTGAAATTGGTGAGAGAGAATGTATATTGCAAAATCAGGAAACAATGTTAAATATAGTTTTTTACTAGAAATATGTTGTTATTTACAAATTCTAATAATTTAATTACATATTTTATTTCCTGAATCTAAAAATAATCAGGTAATTTGCAGTTTAATTAATAACATAGTGATAAACTGTGACATCAAGAGAATAGATTATTGTTTATACCACAATGACATATAACCTACGATGATTCATAACATGACCTGGAAACGATGGCTATTGATACTGCTAACACTGCAACTTTAAGTAAAATAGTTATTTGCCCTCTCTAATCCACCAAAAATATAGCAATTTACATGGTAGGTGTTTTAATGACAATTAATCACAAAAAACAACAACGTCGCAAATTTTACACTCAAAACAAAGAATTGACATACCATTGCAACTGCGGCCTTGTTCATTTTGTACAACATAACGCAGGGGACTAAAAGTTTCTATCACGACATCTCCAGTTTGATTAAAGTCAGCTGTCTTCAACAGTATACAATCCTCGCATTCCTCATATTGGCTCCAGAAGGATATTTGTTCATTTGTTACAATTTGCAGGCATGCTTGGTCGTAACGCAAAGTTTTGCCATTGCAGTTTCGTAAGAAATATCCAACATTCTCGAAGTAGCTAAGGCCCATGTTTAATTTTCCCTACATCAGTTACGCAAACACTTTTTGTACAATTTTTAACAATGCAATTTATTGCAGTTACAATAACGTCGGATGGCGGAAAGCAAAATTTTGCGATTGCTAAAACAACTATCATCTGTCAAATGACTCAAATGTCAGTTAACATGGTAGATAAAAAAATATCAACATCTGTTCGATTCGATACTCAACAAATATCGATTTTAACGTTTGCTTCAGCTTTTAGCCCTTTTTCATAGTACTTAAATACTTAAACAATACAATCTTCCCAAAAAAAAATTAAAGTAAGGAAGAAGCAGTAAATTCAAATGTTTTTGTATTTAGATTTACTTGAAATACTAACTTATATCGATGACTTAAATGCTTTATTCGATGATAAAAACTTTTTGATACATCAGCGGATCTTCGCATCGTTGTTCCAATTGATGCCTTTTACGCAGGCCATATTATCAAGGCAAGGATTGTTACTTAATTATCTGCTAAACTAACTCTTACCTCGAGAATTAGAGGTTACGGATTTACATATATCATACTCTAATTTTGTAGGAGACAAAAAATACAATAATAAATTTAGTACACTTCTTTTTATTTGAAAATAGTAACAATTTTTTTAAACGTGTGTAATACAGTATTAGTATTTCTATAGTAATATTTTTCATAATAAGCAAATTAATATGAAATATTACAAAATATTAATTATCAAATTGGATAACTGAACAGTTTTTCTAATAAATGAAGATTTTTTTCGTAAAATTCTTCTTTAATTGTGCCAGGTATTGTCACATACATTCCATTTTTAGTAAGTGTTATATTGGAATGCTCGTTGTAGAACCATTCGGGCAATGGTGATGGTGGTGGAATAAAAAACTGCCATACCATACGCTTATAGTTGATTACTAATGCTGTAAAAGGTCCTTTGAAGTACAGCTGAAAAAGAAATATTATTAACATGTGGAGCTAAAACTTTGTACCCCTTTCTAAGCAAAAATACATGAACAGATGAACGTGAAGGATGCAGTTACAGTCAAAGTAAAATTTCGAGCAATGGGCAACCAAGTAATATTGAAGAAGGATTCTGTGAATATTTGCTCAAACATAGCGAGCAATTTGCGAGATGCGCGTTCGCTGTGCATTTGCCACATGTGGCAATTTTTTTTTATATAAATAGGTTGCAAATGAGCACGCGGCCACCTGAGTTCGCTCAAATGGCGAAGCGACCGCTGCAGATAGACATCATAATTTGCAGATGCGTTGCCTAGAGAGAATTTACCCCTCATATGTGTACCCTGCCGGATCCACTTCCTCTTTCATCTTCTCCCGAATCTCTTCTTAAGGAGGAGGAACCTTAAGAAAAGGGTGGGGAAGAAAAGAGGACAAAGTTAAGCCTACAGATAATACTTACAGTTAGTGATGGAGTTTCGTACTCGTCCATAGTTTCGGGTAGATTTGAGTCAGGCTGTTTTTGAAATGATAAACTGAAATAAAACACTTATTAAACCATATTGTTGTCTCTTGTTTTGCAAAGAGAATGAAAGAGATAACAATATAATTTACATGAGGAAGATCATTAGAAACCAATTTTCAAATACTTACACAAACTTGTTGATTATTTGTATAACTTTGTACTTAATTCCATTGTTAATTTCGTCATGTTTTATATCTTGAATGTTTTTAGGCTCATCTATTGGATATGATTTCTTTGGATCGTCTTTTTTTACTCTTCTTGTGTTCTGACGTCTTTTGTAACTTAAGTATGCTAGAGGATGTCTGGAACAATTTTTTATATGAATTGGGGGCAGGTCACCAACGCCGAAAGACATAAAATCAAAACAACAAACCAATATCATCATCATCGTCATTATCAGCTCAATATACGTTACCACCGAGGGGCTCGGAGCCTATCCTGAGCTAGGAGTGATTAGGCCATAGTCAACCACGTTGGCCCAGTGCGTGTTGGTTGACTTCACACATATCTTTGAATTTCTTCTTAGATATGTGCAGATTGCATCACGATGTTTTCCTTCACCGTAATAACGTCGGATAAATGTACATATGTTAATCGGAAACCGAAAAACACATTGGTACATGGCGGTATTCGAACCCAGGACTTGCATATTGCAAGTCAAGTGCTTACCCCAGAGCCACCGACGATCAATCCCAATTGAAAGCCAATATAATAAGTTTAAATCAATAATTTCCAAAGTGTTTCTTCACTACTTGTGCAACACGGAATACTCAGCGGCGGTGAACGTTGACGGAAAGTTGAGGTTATGCAAATTGAAGAAATTCAGGGTTCTCCAAAACTAGTTAAAGAATGTATTAAAAAAAAGTTTGAGAATCTCTGGTTTATTTAGACCAGAGATTCACAATTTTTTTTCTAAATAATTTTGTAGACAATATGTTCTATGTCTTTTTTAAAAAAAAAACACTTACCTGTGTATCATTGGTCCAATTTCATCGTCAAAATATTCCTCCTCACTTTCAGTTGCCGATCGTAAATTCGTCAAATTCAATCCATCATTTAACTTCACAACCCATAAAGTATCATCCCACTCTTCAAAATGCTTCAAAGTTGTCGTCGGACTATCCGTAACCAATCCATTATCCATATCCAAAATTCCATTACTGGGAAAATTTAATATCTTCCCATAAATAATAATAATTTGATAAATTATAAGAGCGTATAAAAACATGTTTTTTATGTACACGTTCGATAGCAAATGACTAATTATTAGGCGGGTACTTTTACGCTTGAACACTTGCGCAAATAAGAACGATGTGTGTTTCCATTGTTTCCAGTTTAATATACTACGTCTTAACGTAACTGTTTTCACATAGAAGTATAGCTGTAGTTAAAAGTTACACATACGTTTATAAAAAGGTATAAAATTACATACGCTTAGAGTAGTGTTTAACGTCGTCTTATTTACACTTACTGAAGGTTTCTGAGCCAATATCCTCCTTAAAATATAAATTTTTATTTTGTCAAAGATGATAGGGATGACGATATGTTTTATATAGAAATTTCGGTCTCAGGAATCCACGATTAGACGTATTTAAATTAACTCTGATTTGGTTCAAAAGTTCAAGTCATTCAGATTTACGATTTAAGAAATCTTTTATACTTTAAAAAAAATAACAATTCACTTACTTAAGGGTCTGTACAATATTTTAGGTGTATTTTTTTTTAATTGAAAAATTAAATTATTTTAAGGTTATAAATCAAATAGTAATATTTGAAATACATATTTTATTAAATAAATTGGAATGATATTACAATAAAAACATATTATGTAGTTGCAAAAAGATATAATAAAGCCTTAGCGAATTGCACAATCTCCGAGCCACCAAGTTTTGATTCTCCATACACACGGTCCACAAACGTAATTGGTACTTCTCCTATAGAATAGTCCAGTTGTCTCGCTCTGCAAAACAATATAAACAATCGATTAGTAATTTTTTAAGCAACCTATACACATTTCTGTGATCATAGGTAACCTATGTGTTCTTCCAGACTATGTTCTACATCACTGAAATTTCATAAAGATCCATACAGCTATTCTAGAGATACCTAGCAACAAACATACCACCAACAAACATTATACAATGCAAATATTTTAATGTATGGACATTAAAATATTTGCATTTATAACATTAGTAAGATCTAAAGTTTTCTTACAGATTTATCAATGTTTAGTAATTTATCAAGTAATCTCAATAAAGGAATTGGCCATGGCTTGGATATGACAATTTTTGTTGATTCTTTTAATATTATTAATTCAAATCTAAATCCCCATTACAAACCGCTACCGTCAGCACCAAAATGGAGAAAATCGAATAGGCACAAAATACTTTATCTTTTAGCCATTCCATTTATGTATGTGAATAAATCACAGTAGCCTTAAAAAGACTTACCTTATTATCATTTCCATTTGAAAAACATAACCTTTGGATACACAACTGTCTATCAATCTCAAAAGAACATCTTTCTTGTACAATCTGAAATATTGAAATTATTTATGTGACTAATATTCATCATCAGCTCACTATACGTCCCCACCGAGGGGCTCGGAGCCTACCCTAAGTTAAGGGTGATAATACTAATATTGCATACTACAAATAAATTTAATTAAAAATATAAAATAAACTAAAGCAGACCTTTAAGTGTTGCATAAAATCATCAAAGCTTAATGTTGGCTTATTGGTCCCATACTTTTTAACATTTTAACTCCTTGCATTTTAATATTTTAAGATAAAAGCATGCTTTGATTAACTTTTTTTTTAACTTGTTCATTTATTAACCTTAATCTTAACATATTACATTTCATATAAAAAATAAAAAATTATACAAAATATATTATATTAAAAATAGAACACCACCAGCTGCGGAGTCCCATGACTCAAACAACCAGTGGTCACTGCTACAAAGACAGGAACCTTCTCACAATGCATGCGGTTTCTAGGATAACTGCCTTTTGTATCGGGCCCTTAATCCAACTGTTTAGCGAGTAATTAACTTTTATTTAATATTTTTATATATTTTAGAAAATAAACTTTTAAGTTTGATAATTATAATGACCAAAATATGTTATTATGTGTATTTCATGTTCTGGTAGGACATGTTTTTGGTCTTGTATAAATGACCGTTTGCCATACAACTTTCTTTGCTTGTCTAGTATACACCGTGGCCTCAAAAAGGTTAAGAATTAATCATTCATTAGGAATAAACTGATAATAGAAATGGAATAACATACATAATATTTATACAAGACTGGCTGTTCCCCACAACTTTAGTCTGAATGGAATTAAAAAAATAACTTAATTACTAAACTGTGTCATTCCAATTATGTTCTTTTAAATACGAAATTTCAATGAGATCTGTGCTATTATTTTGAAGATTTCTAACAAACTTCCATCCAAACATTCACATTTATAATATTAGTTAGATAAAATAAAAGAAGATAATAATAATTAACCATTTTACTAACCATGATTAGATTAGCTTTAAATCAGTTCAATATTAACTCACATAGACAAACTATTGTGTGACTCAACAACTAAATCCATATTTACAACTTTTAGACATTATTAGTTAGAATCCTTTGGAGCGAATGGAATGATCAAAATCAGAATAATTAGTGAGGGGACATAAATGTTGACATTTTAGTAAGGCTAGTGTTGCGCCAGTACACCGGCACAGTGTCGGATTCTTTTCCTAACACAACATATTATCTCTGTTTTATCAACGATGAACGACAGGTATGACAATATGTTTTATACAGAGAATTTGGTGTCAGAAACACATAGTTAAAGGTTTTTTTACTTTACCTGAAAGAACCAGTGAGATCAGAAGCTCCAGGTCTAAGTAGTAATTGTGTGATAAAATTAGCACCCCTTGATATAAGCTTCCTTTTAAAATCCCATCCGTGTACACCTCCTCCTCCTTTATATCTCGTACCAGATATCAAATCAAAATCATGTTTTCTCTGCAGTTCTATGAATTTTGGTATGAATTTAGGCTGAAAATATATAAGTTCATTTTATCAATGATAAATTAATAACAATTCAGAAATGTATTTACAGTTGGCCCTGATTAAGTGAGAGTCCAAGATACTGCAATATTTTTCTCACTTATAAAAGTTTCTCACTGACCAGAATTTCTTGCTTATGGAGGTCATCTGGTGAGACCATTGACTCTTGAGGTTCGACCATATTTCAAAAACTATATTTCCAACATTTAGTCTAATGCTTTTATACTAAAACATTCAAAGCTACTGACTCCCCTGCATAGTTCATATTCATAAAAATTAAGTGGCATGAAATGTGTTAATTGTTGCTTACGACTGATAGAAAGTCTAAGTTCATTTAACTTGATTGGGTAAACAGAAATTCGTACGATTAAAATAAATAATTGCTAATAAATACTGCAAACATATTGAACATCTTTTGAGGCATGTCAGTATCATAAATATAGTCATAATATCATAAGTATATAATCTCCTTGATAAATAACTTACATGATGACTTAAATCAGCGTCCATAATAATAATAAAATTGCCCGTTGCATGTTGTATACCGTGTACATATGCTGTGCCCAGTCCCAGTTTCTTCTCCCTCGGCCTTAAAACTATTTTGCTCGTACCGTACAGTTTCTGTAATTGTTTTGCAACTTCCAGAGTCCCATCGGGGCTTCCATCGTCAATTATTATCACTTCATAATCGTAGCCACTGCAAGAAAACCGATAAGTGCTACTTTTAGTTCCTATGTTTTTGTGATAGTGTTCATGTTTTCTTTACCATTTACTTTACCTGTTATCTAAATACTTCATAATAAGCCATATTATGATAGGCAAGTTCTCTCTTTCATTGTACGTAGGAAGTAATATGGAATATTTATCAATCTTTGTGATTTCGGAATCCACTGTAGCAGCCGCCATGCTGTCAAATGTCAAGATTAAGTCAAAATAAAAAATAACACACATCACACTGCCCCTTACACTCATGTTCCTCTAGGGTAATTTTAAATTAGAAAAATATGAAAACTTTTTTGTAATATGGAGGATATCCTCCATATTACAAAAAAGGGGTTTATATATATAAACCCCTTCGAATTTAAGAATATAGCTTAGATATAGGGATTAGTTTTAGTTACGTAAGTAGTTTTTAAAATGCAAAGGTGGTTTGGAAGTGTATATACTCTATAATACTCTTGTCAAAATGGTTGTCATTTTTCATTTTTTCAAATTTTCAAATGTCAATTTCTGGCTGCGTTTTATGAAATTCAGTGTTTACGTAAAAATGAAATTAAAAAATGAATTAAGTTAATCATTGAATATATTTATTAGTAGTTTGTCTAAATGCAAAGATTTGGCCTTCATTTAAATGTTATTATTCCTTGTGTAAAAAGCTTGCTACGGTATGGAAGATAAGTGAAAGTTTTACAGTTCGATCGTTGCTAGAATATTTAAGGATAAAATGGGCAAAACGAGCAAAGTTGTAGTTTGTGGTATGAAAGGGGTCGGTAAAACTGCTATCCTAGAGCAGCTTATATACGGTAATGTGAATCTCAAATCATGTTTCTATCCAACAATAGAAGATATTTACGTAGCCAATATTGAGACCGACAGAGGTTCTAAGGAACGAGTATGTTTCTATGACACCGCGGGGCTAGAGCCGCCGCTAACAGGCGAGTTAAAAGGTTTTAATTTTACTGTAGTTTTGTTTTGCCATGCCATTTTTATGCTATCTTTATATATATAATTCTTCTGTGAGTGTGTATGTCACTGAACTTCTCTCAAACGACTGGACAGATTGTGATGAAATTTTTTGTGTGTGTTCAAGGGGATCTGGGAATGGTTTAGATTCACAATTTTGTCTGCTGGACAATGTTTTTTAATTAATTTTTAATTTATTAATAGTTGTTGATTTTGGAATGTTTTAAGTGTCAATTTTAACTAATATTCGAATTTTCAAATTAAAGACGTGCAGACAGGACAACGTCTGTCGGGTCCGCTAGTATTATATAAATAGGACACACATATAAATGTTAATATAATGTTATAATGTATATTCTTCTCTTATAATAACTACTCTTACTAGTCTTGGTGGATTTACTTCTTAATTTTTATTTGACAATAAAAAAAAATTACTTCTTATAAATGCTGATATTTAATGGTATAATTAGTTGCTGTATTTGTTTTGTATATTGTTCACTATATCTACAAGCTAATTATTTTATGCTAATGTAAATATTTTCTCGGAACAAATTACAATATAAATCCAATTGCTTCTTGTCATACTTTTAGTTACTTATTAATATTAAGAATTATGTATGGAGTGATTATTTATTTTTTTAGGTCCCCCACAATCTCCTACAATGCAGTTGACCTCCAATCAAGTACTGCAGAGGCACTATCTTGGCTTCGCTGAAGGCTTTGTGATGGTGTATGATACAACACGGCCTGAATCACTTGATGTTCTTATGTACCTAAAGAAAGATATTGATAGAAATAAGGATAAGAAAGAGGTAAGGATCTATGTCACTAGTGAACAGTGTCTTTACATCTTCTGAGGTACCATAGTTACTAAATTCCCCATTATTATGCTTGTTACTCCTTATTATGCAATAATCAAATGGTAGTTCTATGTATAAAAGTAAACTGCTTGGGTGAGTTGATCGCAATAAATGGCGCTTTGTGTTTGCGGTTGTAGACAACTGCACACCTGCTAGAGCAGGTTTTTTAACCTTAACCTTAAACCTTTTCTGCTTTTTTTTATCTTACTAATATTATAAATGCAAATGTTTAGATGGATGGATAGGATGGATGTTTGTTTGAAGGTATCTCTGGAACAGCACAATGGATTTCATTGAAATTTGGCATAGGTGTAGAATATAGTCTGGAAGAACACATAGGCTACTTATCAAGTTATATTTAATTCCCCGTGGACAAAGTTGTGGGCCACAGCTGGTATTGAATATATAAGTGCTTGATCACAAACCTACTTGATATTAAGTGGTCATTTGATCAAAGGTTGGCACACACAAGCTTACTAAAGTACCACAGCAAACTAATTAAATGTTGTACAAAGAAAATTGATCATAATTCTATAAGTATTTCTTTATGTAATCACCAGGTGGTGATGATAGTTATCGGTAACAGAACTGGTCCAGACGATGTGAACAGCCTGGAGAATACATGTTCTAAAGCTTCCAATTGGTGTGCCCGTGAGAAGATACGGCATTTTGAAGTGACCGCTATGGACCGTCCGTCACTGTACGAACCGTTTATATTTATGACAACTCGTTTGAATCCCGTTCAAAATAAAACTGCCTTCCCACAACTCAGCACATTAAGCAAACTGACACAGAAGAATAACAAAAGTGAAGCTATGTAACGGTATGTTTTTAATCTATGCCCTTTCTGCTATCAACCATAGAGTATCTGTCATAGAGTTGCAAAAATTTTGACGCGTGATTTTTTTGTTTTTAATCAATCCAAAATAAAACTTTCTTGTGTTTACAGCCTATCTGTAGAGCCATAAATATAGATTATATAACGACATCTACAGATTCTTCGTTCATACACTTTTTTGCACACATGAGTTTATATTCCTCTCCGATATCAAGCACTTTCGATCCTTGTTACCTTGGCAGTGTTTTACCCCGAGGTATCCTGTAAATTATTTCCTGGTTTTGTATTGCTTAAATTTTTGCAATTCTGACAGTGTCTTGATTCTGCAAATCATATTCCTCAAGTAGACCATCGATGTCATGTTATTGTCATAAAGGGAGAAATTGATGCATACTTTTACTACGAGATTATTTCTTTTCCATAATACAGTATAATCTCACTAATCCGGCACTTCGATAGATTGGCACGTCCAATAATCCGGCACCTTACCCCCAAGACTCCTTCACCCCTCAATACTTGTACGCTTGGGTGCTGATTCCTCAACTAGCAGTCTAATTTCAAGACTTATTTTTTCAAGAGAGAATAGTTTATAGTTAAAAATTACAAATAAACGCAAACACAAAACACTATATTTGAATAATAAAATTTACATTACCTAGACTTTTTCACTATAATCCAGTAATCCGAACATTCTGCCGGATTAATGAGATTATACAGTAATTACTTCCGAAAAATCTATATTACCAGAGTGGCTTCCACAACTCTTCGTCAGTGTAAATTTCCTAACGTTTGAATACTTGGTAGCCCTAGTACGTTCTGTTTCTCTTAAAATAATTTAAACATATCTCTATAATATTACACATAAGCAAATCAAGTAAGACAATCTTTTTAAAGTTAGTTTTAAGTTATTCTTAAAATTTATTTGACTTCCATACATGCATTTATTTACTATTATTTTGTACAAAATTCATCTTATATTTTATTTCTTTTTATTTAAATTTCGAATATACTAAATGTATTCCATTGAATCTCAGTATATAGATAAATAGAATCTTAGCCATAGACTAGACATCAATTTTTTATGTTTAATTCTTATTATTATGTTTATAATCTGAATGTGACATTTTTATTTAATATTAATATATATAATAGGTACTTACTTTAACATTTCATCTAGATTTTTTTTACTGTATATTCTAGGATCTGTTGTCATATTTTTTTTATTTAATATCAATATTGAAATGAACAAAACATTTAAAGTTTATCTAAAAATTCTGTTTATTTTTGTTAATTTAAATCATCAAAGAAGTATTCATACCATGTCACAGATTCAAAATTTGGGCATAGATTAAAGATTATTGACATGAGTATATCTGTCAAAATAATTTGAAAAAAAATGAAATGAGCTGATGCTTAATGTACTTATTTTGAATTTAGCTTTTTTTTTTAATTATCTGTAGTTTAAAATGAATTTAATAGTTAAGTATTCTTTGGTGCAATATTTTTAGTACTTAATCTAATGTTTCATAGTGTTATGTGCGAAGTTGTCTATACTGTATGAGACATAATTACAGGAACATTCATAAAAACATATTGTCATCTTGCTCGAGACAGTATGTTTTTTATGGATGTTATAGTAGAGGAAATCTATGGTTAAAATACCATAAAGTTAATTTAGAACCGCCTAATGCTACTACAGAGTAAAGATGCGATGTGCTTTTTAAATAAAATGCACTTATGTACTTACTATAGGTTTGTTTATCAAAAAAATCGTAGTCATAATAATGGTATGGTTTTTTATTAAATTTTATTGATAAAATTGATTTTTTTTTGTGTTGCAAATGTTAAATTTTTCTTCAAAATTAAATTGGCCGCAATTAAGACTCTCTTAACTTAAGCTTTAAATTTATAAACACGCTTAAAATGTTACTTAATAATTATAATGTTGTAAATGTAATATTTAGTTGGGTGTTTCCTGTTGGACCATTGACGGACCGATCGAATTCATAGAGAAAAATTGTCGATGGGAAACACACGTTTATTTAATTTTATAAGACCAAATAAATATGAAATATATCGGGTATAAAGTTTATTAATATTTTTTATAGACTATAAATTATTTCCAATTTAAAAATTGGCATAAAATCTCAAAAAATATAGTAATTTTTGTTGTAATGTTTTTTTTTCAATTTACTTATCAATAAAAAAACTGTAGATTAAAAGAAAAAAAAAACTTTTAAATAAATATTTACTATGTGTTGCCTGTAACATTCGTATGCTATATTAAATAAAAATCAATTTGAATGGCAATATTTTATTTCGCATTTCAAAATGTTACAATAACCTTATCGAGTATAATTCACTACAACTATTGGGCGGGATGTTATCCCAAAGCTATCTACGCATCAACAGAAACAACGTCTTAATTATGTTATTCGTTTACATCGACCGTTCAGAGAAAGACCAGGTACGTACTACAAACTTTTTTCAGGTTTTTTTTTTATTTTTTTTTGTTCAACAATGAAATCACAACATATGTATTATATATAGATACTAGCGGACCCGACAGACGTTGTCTGATAATTTGACACTGCGATGTTAGCGCCGTCTGTCGGATCCAATGTAAAACATTCCAAAATCAACAACTACTAATAAATTAAAAATTAATTAAAAAAACATTGTCCCGCGGACAAAATTGTGAATCTAAACCATTCCCAGATCCCCTTGAACACACACAAAAAAATTCATCAAAATCGGTACAGTCGTTTGAGAGAAGTTCAGTGACATACACACTCACAGAAGAATTATATATATAAAGATTTTTTTTGCTGCACATGGAATAGCCGAAAATATGCCAAAGGCTTACGCAGTGATAGCTCTTAGAGTACGCTCCTGGTCTAACAATGTATTCAGTTAGGGCTGGTACACACTATATATTATAAGCAGTGATATTTTTAGTTAACAACGTATTTAACATTGAATAAAATTTCGTACACATCATATTTTTTTCAACGATATTTTCATTGTGTTTGCAAATTTTTTATTATTTCTACTGATAAAGTTATTTATGTACCAGCCCTAATCTTATAATTTTAGAACAGTAATGTAATTTTTAAAATTTCGAAACCTTATACTTCAATCATTCTTTTTTCCTCGTCTTTATCGTTGTTTATATGGAAGAGACGCGTGACCTGCCGAAGTCTTTTATGTATATCTACTCATATTAATTGATGTCATTATATCATACATACACGTAATTCCTGTACATTATTATGTACTATAATATTTACTTTTAATAATATTATTAGAAATAAATATTATAATACATATAAATAGTATTCAAATAGGATTATTCACACCCTGTTCCACTTCACTCCATTTTATATAATCTTTAAATACATAATAGAAATGTTTTACTTAATTCTATTTAATTATTTGAAGACTGAAATTATCTGGACATATTCAAATTAAAAACGATGTTCTGTGATATCAACGTGGATGTCCATTAGCAAAACTTAAAAAAAAATATGTTTTTTTTTCATAAAGATATATTTTGAAGACGACAATATGTTTTTTTTTTATGAATTTTAACTATAGAAACTCAAGTTTATAGTAATTTGTTAGCTGCAATCATATTTAGTTATTTAAATATGTCAGTCGTTTTTTAACAACCTTTTTGGTTAAGACTTTAAGCCTAAAATTAATTTATTATACACCGAGGAGATAAACGCTTAAAGGGAATGTGCGTTCAACGCATGGTTAACACCATTTTTTTATAATTTTTGACAAATAATTTTTTTAACTACCATCGAAATATAAAAAAAAAATTAGGTTAATTTTGAGTTGGTGCTTTTGTTACTTGCATATTACTATCAAATTAAAAAGTTACGTCAATGACAACTGTTCAGTGCATAAATGTGCAGGAAATCAAAGTTTTATTATAATGTTATATGAACAGTGTACACTTAGCCTTATACGTTTGGTTTTGTCATAAACAAAGATGAAAACTTTTTCTAGTCATATAGGTGCAATTTATCAATAACATAAACTGATATAAAAACGGCTAAACACTCACGTATATACGTCCGGTGGCGGCACCGACTAGTTTCGAGCCCATCGGAGGCCCTTCATCAGGATGAGTGGTACTGGTATTATTTCGCGGACGCGGCCCGTCGCTTACTGAAGGCCCCCGATGGGCTCGAAACTAGTCGGTGTCGCCACCGGACGAATATACGTGAGTGTTTAGCCGTTTTTATATCAGTTTATTATAATGTCTCACGAAAGTTTGAGTAATATGTTATCGATAACATGTGTTTTAATAGCGACTTTACGTATAAGGCTTTACATTGCTTTGTTATAATAACAAGTGTATTTCAAAGACATATTCGATTGAACATTTTTTTTTTAAATAAGATTCAAATTATGGCGATTAATAAGTCCAGGATAAAAGTTGTATAATTTTGTCTATGGTTGTTCAAAACTCTTTCCGGAGTAACCTCTTGTTGTCAAGCTCTTTTTTATTCACGTCACATCGCTTTTGTATTAACTTATAATTATAAAATGACTAGCAATTGTCTTTCTAAACTGTCTGCTTAAGACTACTGTAACGCTAACTTTATCGAACAATGTAAAGACCGACAAACATATATGACACGGTTGGCTTAAGTGAAACTAAATTATCATAGGCCTAGGCCTGTCAATTTCAAAAATATGTCACACTGTCGGACTGTAATGTCTGACAAGTACGTCTGACCCGGTGGACACAAGTTACACTAAATATGAGAGCTCACTAGCGCCATCCTTTTACATTTTCTTTAGCTATTTTCTATATCCATGTAGGTTTTATATATTTTCTGAAAGTACAAACCGATACTAGCGCCTCTCCCACCGGATTAGACACGCTTGTTCGAATAAACCGCGATAATGCGTGAAAGGCCGCATAAGTTTGTTCGACTGTACCCTACTAGCTGGCGCTAGTGAGCAGAGACAGTGTTGCCTGTAACGATTCCGATATGCAACGATCTATTTAGGGAAATATCCCATCCCTAAAAATTACATATCGATAAAGGATCAAATTTTTGTTTAATAAAATTATTGACCACTCAGCTTGAGTCTGAGTAGTTTAGGGACTTATGGACATATTTTTTTGCTGTTTTTTTATGTATTTTCACTAAAAGGCTTGATATTTTAACGTTGCGTATACATACTACATAAAGAAATATATTTTTTAATTTTCATGACCAAAATAAATTTATGATTATTTTATCGTGTTATTACGATTTCTTTTATAAATATTTTTAATATATCAATTTACTAAACAAGGCTTCTAATTGTAAGAAATGGAAACAATGGATTATTATCTGATTTTTGACTGAACGAATGGAAATTTAAAATACGAAAGTATAGTATGTTTAGTAACTAATTATTTACTATTGTCATAGGATTTTAAGACAAATCCCTTTGTTGATGAGTGAAATATGTATCATTAATCAACTTGTAGATCGTATTATTATAATATTAAGTACTTGGAGTGTGTTATTTATAATCTACATAAATAATACTGTAAGGTATAGACCAGAGAAGAAAGTACTACTTATAAAAATTATAATTTGCTTCGAAATGTAATCATCTAATTGTTAATAATTACAACTACTATCTTATATTAAAGGCTTACTGTAAACAATACGCGAACGTATCACCAGTAATCTACGAATATAACCTCAAAATTTAAATAACGGTCAATCGACGACGTCCATTTTGAATGTTGTCGGTTTGTGACCGATAGGTTTCATGGCGAGTCGGATTCCGGTGCTCGTTGGTTTAGTGTTTAGAATCTCTTCGTCACTACTGCTCGAGTCGAAGCGATCAGCCGTGTTCACTTCGTCAGGCTCTGAATCGGAAGACTAAAAGAAAAATGGCATAAATAAGTTAATAAGGAATGAAATTAGTTATATCAAAATTCAACTGATAGAAAAGCTACTGTGGAAACATTTTCGGGGTTAAATGCATACAGATAAACCAAAAAATAACTATCTAGAAAGAATAAAAATATTAAAAATGTTTTTTTTTTTCATGCATTGTTTATTATAAAAAGCACTCGCTACCGATCACAGACTCATTTAATAATCACCAAATTACTTTTAGAGTAAATTAAATTTAAGATATATTAACACATTCCATGATGATACGACTTTCATACGACAGTAAACTCGAACCCAGTTGGTAGTGAACGTGTTAAAGGTTTTCCTTAAATGACTCTGCATACGGTAATTAAAAAGGTTAATAATTATAATAAGCTACATATGCATATCTACTGCTAAAAATGAAGAAAAAAATATTTTTTAAAATTTAAAATATTTAAAAATAATATTTTTTGTCTTCATTTTTTATCTATTTAAAATAGATCGAGCGGACAAACATCTATTTCTTGGGTCGGCTGCGCACGATGGACGTCGGTAAACGCTTGCTCGGCCTCTCCTCACTGCTGTCCACCCCCTAAAGTCATCGGGGACAATATATTTACATGTGATTTTTATATTGTGCCACACTTATTAAAAAAAAACAAAAAATCTGTAAGTACGTTCCTGTACTTTTTGACTTCTGCATAAAAAACCTAATATTTATTTATGACAACTTTAGGACAATTAATTTATTATTTATTTGTTTTTAAACAAACCCGAGAAAGGAAATTACACATTTTAAAGTTTCACGTTTTTTAAAAAATAAGTTTCTACGAAATTTTTCTTACATGTTACATGTCAAAGAAAAAAGGGTTCAATAAAATGTTTGATCTTTGAAATACTTATAAAAAGTAATGACGCATTATACAACTAGAATTGTTATTTTATTTTAATCACTTAAAAAGTTGGACTTAAAACTCTTAAGTCAAATCCTTAAAAAAAAGTTGCCATAAACAAAAAATAAAATTTGTACCGAAAAAAAACTAAAGTCAGTTGTACAGGGGTGCTTACGTCGAAGTCTCCGATAGTGAACCTAGTGCTGGCTTCGGCCACGAGCTGCGCGGGCGCAGGCGGCGCAGTCTCCGGCGAGATCACCTGGACCCCACGCACCAAAGACAACATAGAGTACCGCACAGTGTTAGCGGGGTTAGTTACAGTAGCGATACATATAGAGTTGTAATAGACACGTTATTCTTTAAGCCTCGGTTTTACTACTCAAAAAATGGACATAGACAAATACTTTTTTTTTACTTCAGTCTTTGTACAGATGTTTCTGTTTTCTATGGTTATTTAATTACAGTATAAGGATAAGTTTAAAGAAAGACTCAAGAGTAAATTAAACAAAAAAAAATAACGTGTCTCTATATTTTGTGTTATTAAAATATAAATATAATGTATATATAATATCTTTTGCTATTTACATTAGCGACAAAAATCCTTATTCCCAAATAAAGTTTAGTCCATCGTTAATAGATAAATATGTATTGTCATACACACAAAAGTTTTTTTTAATAAAAAAATATACTAAAGATGGCAAGTACATTGAGGTAATATGCCGCCAATTTTTACGTCAATCGTTAACTTGTAAGGAAAAATTAAAACAAAAAACTCATGATAAATATTAAAGTTTTGCATTTGAAATAAAGTTTTAAATCAAGATTGTCCGTTTCCTGTCAAAACGTATGTGAACCGTAAATAACTTAATTTTATAATCACCATTAATAATATCGTAAACGGAATAAATATTTCAAAATTAATTATCAAAAACTAATTTATTAAATAACATTTTATGAATAATATGTTGTTTTCCTAGCCGAGCAATATCTAGTTTTTATTTTTATTAGTAGCATTAGCTAGTATTACCATATTTTAGTTCATAAAACGATTCAAACTTTATATCGAATTGCATTCAACTCAGATGTCGACGGAAAAAATAATTGCGCGCGAATTATCTGCAGACATAAGTCACACGAGCTGTCATAAAGTTTGAATCTTATAACCTAAAAAAAACAAGTCTATATTTTAACCTTTACCACGCTACTATAAGATTTTTATACATATACTCACGTCCTGATCGCTCATCATCTCCTTAGTGGACACAGTGGTCTCAATCCTACGGATTGAGCCCTGGTGGATGTCCACATCGAGCGCGAGGCACTGGAAGCGTCGTAGTATCAGCACCACTGGAATGGGCAGTACTCCAGCCAGGATCATGGCGGCTGCGATGCCTAACACCCAATTGGGATATGGTGTTTTCTCTACGCGACCCTGTGAAGAAACGTCAAATGAAACAGGGAAATGTCAAATGTCATAGAGTAAAAAATATTTAACATGTGTAATTTTTTTTCTTAAATATATGGTCATCTTTATATATATGGCCAACATTTTTTGTTGCATATTTCATTATTGTTAGTTAAAACTTTTATTATTCAATGATTTATTACATCCAGACAGACATAAAAAATAATTTTATAGCTGCTATTCTGACCTTTTAATTAGTTTATTTGAATAAAGGAAAATATGTTCTACTCCGGTAATATGAATAATTTTATTACAATTTTTAAGTCATTAAATCGTAAAATAAAAACATTTATAGCATAAAAAGGTTAGTTATGACGTCACTACATACCTCTGCAGCATTCCATGCACCGTATGTTGGCGGTATTATGAGCATGAAGACCAGAGAAGACAGCAAGATGCAGGTGACAATGAATGGTCCCACATAGCGCCATGTCACCTGCCAGTACCAGCCAGGACGGTAACCCGTCATCTCGTAGATGTCGTTTGTGAATCTGTGGCGGTAAAAGAGTTAATTAAAAAATTAAATCAAATGAAAAACAAAGTACATAATCTAACTAAAATTATAAATGCGAATGTTTAGATGGATGTTTGTTAGAAGGTATCTCCAGAACGGCTGAACAGATCGCGATGAAATTAAGCTTAAATATAGGCTACTAATTAATTTTTTTTTTATTTTCGCGTGGACTGTGTCGCGGGCAATATATATTTTAATAATGAATATTTTAAAGGGCCTGTAGCCCAATGATAAAGAGTACATCCGATCATGTTGTCGTGTGAATCTCATTGCATTCGAAGATTGTCGTAAACCATAATCATAATAAGCCAGGATTTAGTTTGAATCGTAATTTGAAATAATATCCTAAGGTCTAAAAATACACATAAAAAGGTACTTATATCAGAGTCGAAAATCTAGAACAATACGTAGTTAAGGCAATGACGTGTTATAGTTGTTCACCAAACAATTTGTTTGTCATAAACAACTTCAGCATTTGATAGATTTACACATGTTGATACATGAACCCTTTATCGGTATTTCAAGGTTAGACGTGTTTAAAATGTCTTGAAATATGATTGACTAGCTATCACCCGCGATTCCCTCCGCGTGGAATTAAAAAAAAACTTATTTAGTAGCCTATGTGTTCTTCCAGACTATGTTTTACAACTGTACCAAATTTCATCAAGATCCGTTCTGGAGATACGCTCAAACAAGCATCCATCCATGAAGTAAGATATATATACAAAGCTGTTCTAATCTGATACAGATTTGAGATGACAATTTGCTTGACAAGAGTCTGTTTAATAGTACATTTGTTTCAGAAACCAACCATAAACAAGTATTTTCATTTTGATTTAATTTTTCAGTAGATACTGCTCTATCATAGACAAAAGCGTACTTACTTCTCATGTCCATAGATATAGACGACAGAAATCATCTCGAGCAACGCTACGACCACGAGGCCGATAGTTCCAGCGAACGAGTCAAACATCTTGAGCCAGTACTCGCCCGCACCCGTCGTGAAGATCAGCCCCACGAGGAAACAGAAAGTACACACGACGCCTACAACACAGAAATATCAAATACCGTTTTTTTATATCATAAGGTGGCAAACGAGCGAGCGGCCACCTGAAATCGCTGAAATAGCGAAGTGACCGTTGCCCATAGACATACGCAATTGCATATGCGTTGCCTACATTTAATCGACGGAGGAGAGGATGCACAGAAAGAAAATATTTTCCCTTTCCATGCATTCTCTCATCCGGAAAGTCCAGTTCCACTTCCGATCCTTTCCTTATAAGAAAGAGAGTGGGAAGGGAAAGAGGACTATGAAAGGCCTCCGGGAAGCAAAACCCTCGGCGGGTTTTTGAGACCAAAATCTCCTTTAAAAAATATTGTTATCTCTGCTTTGTTAAAGATAATATGACATGGATGACGATATGTTTTATACAGATATTTTAGTCTCAGAAACTAGCGGGTAGACAGTGGTCCACGTTCACAATTTTCGGTAGATTCTTCTTCTAGTTCTACAGTCCTTTGTAGACCTTGGCTTAGTCCAATAACTTTTTCCACCTCTGTCTATCTCTTGCCACGGACTTTCAATTTGCTATGCCAACTTTGTCTCGATTTATGTCGCCTATCTATCGAAGCTTTGGTCTTCATTCAGCTGATGGATAACCGAAATACTATCAAATAATTTTGACAAACAATAAGTCAAGTAAAGACTTATTTGATTTGCTAAAAAATTTATCCTCAAAAATGTAATAGGCCGGTATCTATAATTTCTTTTAGATAAAAAAACTTTGAACTATAGAAGAAAACTCACCAGTTATGACCGGTTTGCTCATTCGTTTGAAGAAGTCAATATCAAAGATGGTGCACAGCATGCCCTCCATGATGCCGATCTGGCTGCCCAGACCCAACGACAGCAGCATGAGGAAGAAGATGATCGACCAGAACGGAGCTGGTGTCAGTTTGAGGATAGCCTGTGTGAACACGATGAAAGCTAACCCGGTGCCTTCCGCTGCCTGCAAGAGACGTAGTTTTTTACATTCAGATCTGTCGCTTTATTCTTCGTCAGCGCAGAATTAAAATAATAGCCTATCTATAAACAAAGTAAAAAGGAACGCAAAGTAAATAGGATATTACACCTTCCTATTCGTCCGCCGGAGAAGGCCGCCAAGTCCTCTTCTAATTCTTTCCTTTTAACAAAAGGTTGGGAAGGGAACGTGGACTTGATGAAATTAGGCCTCCGGCAGGCACTCTCTTCAGGGGAAGCATGTCTTGATTCAGACTTACCTCTTCCAATTGTCTACTCATAGTGCATCCAGTTAGGTTGAATGCAGTTACCACGGTGTTGTTTAAAGTTGGGAACTCCTCCTTGTAGTAATCAAAAGTCGAGTTCAATGTAAACCCGCCGATATGGTGCATTGCTAAGACTTTGATTTCCCTGTAAGAGAAATGATTTTTAGACACTTTTGAACTAAATAGTTTTAAAGTTTGCAGAACCATAAATGTACCCCACATTTTTTCCCAATTTCTCCAGTTTTCCCCAGTTCCAAATCCAGGTGGAGCCTAAAAAACTTATCGTATCGTTAGTATTGCAATGGATGTTTCTTGTTTAAAACGAGGAAATATTAAAAAACAAATAGGCTACTAAACTACTCCATAATTTAGTCTCTTTTTGTTTGGTAGATATAACTTGGAGTTGCTGATTTTATAAGAAAATTGTCACATCAAAGCCTGTTGTATAAAGTTTCATCATCATCAGCTCACTATACACCCACTAAGAGGCTCGGAGCCTACCCAAGTTACTAGGCCATAGTCAACGCTGACCAGTGCAAGTTGACTTCACACATATCTTTGAATCTCTTCGCAGATATGTTCTTCATCGTAAGAACGTCAGATAAATATGTAAATCGAAAATCTCATTGTTAAATGGCGGGATTCGAACCCAGGATCAGCAGATTACAAGTCAAGTGTTTGACCACTGAACGATGCGTATAAAGTGAACATTAAATTCACTTACTTTGTCATACACTTCTCTACCATAGTAAAAGCTTTGAAGCCAAGAATACTGAAGATAACCACAGATGCGTAGATTGCTGTGAGAGCGTTACACACGGAGACGAGAAGTACGTCTCGCACACAGTTGTTGTTCGGCGGATTATATGAACCGAAAGCGATGAGGGAACCAAACGCGAGTCCAAATGAGTAAAACACTTGAGTTGCTGCGTCCAACCATACTGTTGGATCGAGGAGTTTGCCCAACTGAAAGTTAATATATTTAAGTTGTAACAAAAATACAGATTTATATGTAAAATAGTTACAGACAGTTAGTCGAAATTCGACCACAATTCAATGCTTATAGATCAAAATGGACTGCTTATCGAAAGTTATTGTCAGTTCTATACATATCTGAAGTTCATTATGGAATCGATTTGTAGCGAATTCACTTTGTCGAACCCACGATGCAACATGATATTCACTTTCTTCTTTTTCTGTTAGAAATCGTTCTTGGTCTTCTATTTCTTTTCCCTACTATGTCGTGTTTATCAAGAATACGGTCGAAAATTTTGATTTAATTATTAGAATACTAACTGTCGCCCGCGACTCCGTCCGAGTGGATATATAAAAAAACTTAATTAGTGTAGCCTATGTGTTCTTTCAGACTATCTTCTATACGTATGCCAAATTTAATCGAGATCCGTTCAGCCGTTCTAGAGATATCTTCAAACACCCATCCATCTCAACATTCGCATTTATAATATTAGTAAGTTAATTAAAAAGCAGCTCTTCAAGGCATAAATTCGAAAAATAAAAAAATAAACAAAAAACAATATATTTATTGTTTTTTGTTTATATTTTAAGGACATAGGATACTATTGTATCCTATGTCCGTCTCCTGGCTCTAAGCTACCTCCTCACCAATTTTCAGGCATATCGGTAAAGCCGTTCTTGAGTTATAAATAGTGTAACTAACACGACTTTCTTTTATATATATAGATAAGATCATACCTTAGGTTTATACATATGTATTATTCCATCAGCAGAGCCCGGCAGAGTGATGCCGCGGATAAAGAATATTGTCAATACAGCGTAAGGGAACAGAGACGTGAAGTACACCACCTGAATATCACAATTATTTTTATTATGTAAGTTAAAATAAAAAAAAACAAATTACAAGCTAAAAGAGAGAGATAGAATCTTACTTTACTAGTCTCTCTCTATCTTGTTTTAGACATTATTAGAAAGAATAATTTGGCAAGAATGGCGCGCATTACAAAGTCAAGTGTCAGAATGATTAGTGAGGGGACATAAACGTTGTTAATAAGGCTAGTGTTGCGCCGATACACCGGTAAAATGTCGGATTTTCTTCCTAAACTTTTGCGAGATGTTTTATTTAGTTATTAACGATATGATGGTATATGAATTATGTAAAAATTTAGTTTTTAATGTTGGTATTGCTAAACTACATTCACAAAAACACATTGCCTACTTTAACATCTCCGTTTTTTTAATGAGACCAATGACGATGTTTTTGTACAAATGTTTTTACAGTAGACATAGTATTCTACTTACTTTCCCACTGCTCTGTATTCCCTTCATCACAATAAAGAAGACGATGATCCAGGCTAACAGGAGATATAGCACGATCCACCAACGAGGTACACCAGGGTCTTCGATGCTGGGCGACGCGTCAAGTGCCTCTCGGTACCAATAGTACACTGTAGCCGACGCCTTGCTACATTCCAGCTCCGCTGTACTGTTGTCTTGAGGACAATGAGCCCAGGGCAGCTGGTCAGCTGATAGCTAAACATCAGAATTATAGATTTGAATAGAACGGATGGTTTTTGTGGTATAGTTCCATAGTCAAGTAATACACCAAGCCCTATATTTCATTCTCGTTTTCTCTCTTTTTGTTTCTCCTTTACTGTTTTCGTTTTCTTTTTATATATCTTTTTGAACTTGTAATTTGCAACTATATATCCCCGTATGGACTTAAGGTCCATATAGAGTACTTTAAGAACTCTCTATATAACTCTACATTTATATTAACATTCGGGCGGAATTCTAAGAAGACTTTATATGTATTTAATCTTTTTATTATTGTTCTATGGGTTTACTGGTCATTATCTTCGGAAATTTATTATTAAATAACGAAAAAGTGTTTCTACTCACCCGAATACTATTAAAAAGATAAAAGAAGACCCAGGTGATGATGACATTGTAGTACAGAGCGACGAAGAGGGTGACAATACAGCTGGAAATACCAATGCCGCCCAGCCAGGGGTGAATCGTGTTCCACACGCCGAGGGATCCAAGGCGCATCTTCTGCCCGATAGCCATCTCTATCAGGAAGAGCGGTATGCCCTCCAGCACCAGCATAATCAGAAATGGGATCAGGAATGCACCTGCAAACACAAAACTCTGTTAAATTCAAACTTTATTCGTTTAACTTCTGATTTTTTAAATCATGCTTAAATATTTATTTCCGTTTACTCTTTCATAGCTAGGCTTTTATTTTAAAGGATATTTTCTTTTATTATTAATTAGTTATGTAATCTCTTACCGTGAGTTTCTAATATATTATCTCTGTGTTATAGATGACGATATTTTTAAACTGAAATTTTGTAATCGGAAACCCACGGTTAGTCGTATTGTTTATGTATCCAAGGACATAAAGTAATAATCCAAGGAAAGTAAGAATAATAACTATTTGGTTTATAGAAATTTGTTTTCTCTTATTGTGCTAGATTTTAGGATAAACTAGCTGTCGCCCGCGACTCCGTTGCGTGGATATATAAAAAACTTATTATAATAAGTGTAGCCTATGTGTTCTTTCATACTATGTTCTATACGTATGCCAAATTTAATCGAGATCCGTTCAGCCGTTCTATAGATATCTTCAAACACCCATCTATCCACAACACATCCATCTAAACATTCGCATTTATAATATTAATAAGTTAAATAAAAAGCAGCTCTTCAAGGCATACTTTCGAAAAAAAAAAATGAATAAATAGTATCCTATGTCCGTCTCCTGGCTCTAAGCTACCTCCTCACCGATTTTCAGGCATATCGGTAAAGCCGTTCTTGAGTCATAAATAGTGTAACTAACACGACTTTCTTTTATATATATGATAAATATATAAATTTCAAGTATGTTTTATCAATGACTTACTTTTGACCGCGACTTCGTACGCGCGGAAATAAAAAAATAACTTAACAAAAAATTGAAAAAAAAAATACACATAATTACCGTGTTATGAAAAACAAACTTTGATTCTCAAATTATATTATTGCTTTGTAATTGTAATAGTTTTTGTAAATAATTTTTGTTATTTTTCTTTACATACTAAATAATAAACATAACAGGTATTTTTATAACTTCCTACAAAATAAATTAATTAAAGAATAGTTATTAATTTAAATTATTTTCCCAGAATACGGACACGAATGTACATATATAAAAACGCACAGAGACCTCTACGGCGCTACGCCGTAGCCCGTAGACCACAGAAAATCAATAAACGCCGGCAGCAAACGGCTTGTATTCTGCAATATTATGCAATGGCTGGGTATGTTTCATTCATTCGAGTGAACACTTTCGTACACTGTGAGTTTTCACTGTCGCAACACTTGTATAAAGACATCTTTTCCCTCACGATTATATAGAAAAAAACGTTAAGACAGTTTTTTAAATACATTCAAACACAATTCGTGTATACATAGCCTTATGTTACATAGTGTGTTTATCATCCACCTATGAAAACAACTTAAAGGTTTTTTTGCATTCGCTTCTAAGCGATTCCATAGCGAACTTCAAAAATGTATGGAACTGACGCGACAATCACGTGACTTGTCGAAAGCTCAATTATATACATTTTTGAAGTTCGTTATGGAATCGGTTCGAACCGAATGCATTTCGTCTAACCCTGTTGATCGCCATTCGTCAAACGAAAAGGCATTTTAATAAGAAGAATATAAACAGTATTATAAAATATTGTTCTACCTTACAATAATAATATTACCGTAACAAAGACAAGGCCATAACTGATGCGTATAATTTTTTTAATTAAATATCTCGTACTCGGGATGTTAAGATTTATCGTTGACAGCAACAACAGAAAAGTACATGTAAGTTCTTGTAATTTTTAATAAATGAATATATTTATATTAAATCAACATATATTTACATATACTTGGTTAATTCAGAAATATAATAAAGAATTAAAGACACTAGCTATCGCCCGCTACTCAATACGCGCGATATAAAAAAAATAGTAACCTATGTGTTCCAAACTATATCATACATCTTTGCCAAGTTTCAGCGAGATCAATGCAGCCGTTCTGGAGATATTTTCTAATAAACATTCATCCATACATCTCTCCATCCATACGACCATTCACATTTATTAGCGCTTTAAGACTTTTTAAGGATATATCCAGAAAATTAATCGAGATCACAGGGGATCGAAGAGCTGGCACCTACCTCGGACAAAGAATTAATTTAGCTTTCCAAAGGGGGAACACTGCCAGTATCTTTGGGACCTTGCCTAAAGGGACTTGTTTTAATAATATATTTTAGTAAATTATTCGTTTTATAATATTTAATTTTATGTCATAGATTTAAGACTATTCATTAGTTAAATAAACTTAATTTTAAAGTGCTTTACTTATAGAAAGTTGTTTGGTTGTCTGTTTGCCTCGCGTACCAGGTACTAACATTATTGTCAAGGTTGTTTGTGGCTTTGCATTGATTTATTATAATTTGATGTCAAACCGTGGTTTCTTATCGCAACATCTATAGAAAAGCATATTTTCTAGGTTTTATTATAATATTAATCGGAATTTACAAAGTGTGATAATTTAAGGCGATTGACTGATTACTAAAAATCTTACCTCCGCCATTTTGTTGACATAAATACGGGAATCGCCAGATATTTCCCAAACCAACTGAATATCCGATGATTGAAAGGAAGAACTGCAGCTTCCCAGACCAAGCAGCGCGGTCCTCGCCAGGCGCCTCGCGTTGCAGGGAACCTCTGGAGCCCTGCAGCACTATAGTCACCCCGTGAGGTCGCTCGCTGCCGTCCGCGCGCGTATTCAATGGCGCTAACTCGTGCCCGTTCCGCGGTCCTATTGGCTCAGCTTTGGCCGCCATCTTGATTTCAACTGACGTTTCGGGTTGTTAAGTTTTAGGTTATTTTGATGTTAGCTTTTCTTTTAAACAATAAAATGCTATTATTTTCGAAATAAAAATGATAGATTTATCTATTATTATATCTTATTGTAACAATTAATCGATATTATTGTCCGTTTAACCGATGATACTTTAGTATGAGGTTTGTCGGTATCCGTAGAATCAAATAGCTGGTTTTGACAAGGTTCTTGGAATGGTAATCGTTGCCTATGAATATGTTCATAATATAAGATACTAAGTTTGATGAATCTCGTAATCGTATGTAAAGTATCGAATCGCGTCTTTTTTGACGAATTCGACGACTTTAAAATACGTCGTCGTCCTCTGTAGAAGTTTTTGGCGTAATTTTAGCGAATCTCTGAACACGTTGATTGCTTCCTTGTGCATATGAGTTGGTTTACGTCAGACCACTCTAGCTAAACACGCAGCATGGCTCTGCGGTTGTAGACCTTCATGAGATCGCTTTAAATTATCGTACACATGTCTGGTAACTTCTATGTTGTCGCGATAGATGTAATCTGTAACAAATAAAAAGCAATGTTATTAAAACTATTTAATAACATACTAATGTAAACGTTAATTGTATGCTTAGTGTAGATTTAGAATTAATAATCTATACTTAGAGTACATCATCAGCTCACTGCATGTCCCCACCGAGGGGCTCGGAGCCTACCCTAAGTTAAGGGTGATTAGGCCATAGTCAACCACGCTGGCCAAGTGCGGGTTGGTTGACTTCACACATATCTTTGAATTTCTTCTCAGATATGTGCAGGTTGCATCACGATGTTTTCCTTCACCGTAAGAACGTCGGATAAATGTACATATGTAAATCGGAAATCGAAAAACACATTGGTCCATGGCGGGATTCGAACCCAGGACCTGCAGATTGCAAGTCAAGTGCTTGACCACTGAGCCACCGACGCTCTCTTGATTATTCATAAATATTACTATTAATTCATTCAAGGATGCAGATATTTCGTGCAAAAACCAGTTGAACAGTATGGACACATTGATAAATTTTTAGAACATTAGGCACAACGACACACTGAGAGCAAAATATACATCAGAATTTAATATTTTTGACATACGAAAAAATATAGAATACTAGCTGTAACTCGCGACTCCGTCCGCGTGGATATATAAAAAAACTTAATGTATAGATAGATAAGCAATTTTTCAAGGCATTAACTCGAAAAAAAATGATTAAATAGTATCCTATGTCCGTCTCCTGGCTCTAAGCTACCTCCTCACCAATTTTCAGGCATATCGGTAAAGCCGTTCTTGAGTTATAAATAGTGTAACTAACACGACTTCCTTTTATATTTATAAGATTTTGTTACAGTTTCATTTGGGAGGGTGAACATTTTAACTTAAAAGTCTAACATCAACGCGAACACATTTCTATAAAATCTGACCTACTTTTTGGTTCTAGATAATTCTGATTGCACTTTTACGGAGTCTGGGAAATTTGCCAAAACAATTTGCCAACCTTCCCTCTGTACGATTTTATTAAATTATGACATAAACATCGTTACCAAAAACAACTATTATTGATAAATATTTAAAAATACCTACCTTTTTTTTACAATAAAATTTAAAAAATTTTTGAATATTAAAAAACGAAAAGACTAGAAGAAATATAAATCATTTTTAGTATAAATGTTGCTCGTAATAAAATAAAAATATGCACAAAAACCTGTTTAATAATCGCGCCAAGCAAACATATCTTACTTATATTATAAATGCGAATGTTTAGATTGATAGATGTGTGTTTGTTTGAAGATAACATCAGAACGCCTCAACTGATTTCGATGATATTTGGTAAGGATGTAGAACATGGTCTAGAACAGTCTTTCCTAAAGTGGGCGATAACGCCCCCTTGTGGGCGCTGAGGTCTCAAGGCGGGCGGTAAAAGACCCAGAACGAAAATGGGGGCGTTGTGTCTCTACACACCTCTACAGGCCTCTGCCTGGGAGGTGATTTGTAATTTTATTTAGCTAGGAGGCCTCTTAGACAACCACTGCATGAGGTCTCGACTCTCAACAACTTATGAACATCAACTAATATGCATTAAAAGATTGCTTAAACTGTAATATGGGGGCGCTAAAAAATATTTATTCTCAAGTTTGGGAACCACTGGGCTAGAAGAACACATAGACTACTAATTAATTTCTTTTTATTCCACGCTGACGGAGTTTGGGCGATAGCAGCAAAATAATTATTGAACGACACGTTCTTATCATTTCTACACAGATGTTTACAACTACGTAGTACGTATGTATAAAGTTATGACGTTTACTTATGACGTAAACGATTAAGTAGAGAAGCCATTTAAGTTACGTTTTACTCACTTAAAACAATCAATAGTTTAAAAAAGCAACTATCCTTACTGCATCTTATAAAGATACAGAGAAGATTTATTGACACTTCTTAAAAGTCCGTTTTTTTTTCATAATACGATTACATTGTTTAATATTTTAACAGTGGTCAGATGGCCACTAACATTAGTAGCAATAATTGCTTGGCTCGCCCGCTGCAATACCACGAACACACAATACAGGCGTGAAGTGGAAGTAATTCCACGTTGCGTTTGATGAGTGTGCGCACTTTAGGCTTAATTTAGTCCTTTGTAAGGGGAAAGGATGGGAAAAGTAGGTGTATTTGACGGAGGAAGGGATGCTCAAGAAGGGGAAATATCCTCTTTCTGTGCGTCCTCACCTCTGTCGATTAAAGGTAGAAAACGCCTCTATAACTCCTGATGTCAGCGAATTCAGGTGGCCGCTCGCTCGATTTCCACCTTATAATTAAAAACAGACGTGTAAAAATTAATATTTCACAACTAGTTTGCGAAAGAAAAAAGCATCTGTGGAAAAATGTACAACGTACCAAGGTAGACATAAAACGATAAAAACGTAGTACTTATGGATGTCTAGACTAGACGTCTCGTGGACGAAACACTCGTAAGTCGTAAATAAGCTGTAATCGTGTGTAGGGTGCCCTTATGTCAAAAGGGGTGGCTTTAAATTACAATGTCTTAAATGTGTGCATTGCAAACCTGAATCAATATCGAATATTACTTATCATTGTAAGAAAACTATAAAACTTACAATATTATTATGTTATCTTTAGATGTATAAGTGTAAGTATATTTAACCGAAAAAAAAGAAAAATAAGGGTTCCGTTTTTTTTCTATGAGGTACGGAACCCTAAAAACAACTGTAATATGCTAAAATAGTAGCTTATTCTTTCACATTATTTGGATATGTAGGCTCACATTATTTCCTCTTTAATTTTAATCTTTCTTTTAGCATTAGTATACTATTTTGTGATCATCATCATCAGCTCACTATATGACCCCATCGAGGGGCTCGGAGCCTACCCTAAGTTAACGGGTTATTTTGTGATCCTACTTATGTAATTAACAAATCAAAAGTATTGCTTTCTCAAAATCTTATATATATAAAAATCAATTTCTGTTTGTTAGTCTCGCTAAAACTCAAGAACGGCTGCACGGATTTATCTTATCATGGTCTTAAAATGTTAGTGGAGGTCTAGGGAAAGTATAAAAGGTGACAAAAATTCGAATATTTGCTGGGAACTAATTATGTTTTTTTTTAATTCCGCGCAGACGAAGTCGCGGACGACAGCTAGTTCCTTATAAATAAATAGTGCTTTTTTATGACATAAGAGCCAAGTTTCTTAGCAGCTGAACTACATGTTGCCATGTATGAGGTTAATTCTTATTTTACGGTACGTTAATTCAATAACTATTATATTTAGTGCCTAATAATTAAAAAAATACAATTAATATATTCTTTAAAACGTAAAGAAAATAAGTTCTTACACATTTTTATTGTTGTGTTGGTACCTTTTGAATTAAGAACAGGATTTACTTAAGACTTGTCAGGACATGTTCCAGAGCAAGGGGAGTGTACAAAAGGCACTTCCCCCTTACGATCTTTTCGGCCTTGACATCATTCCGCGGACCCTTACATCGGCGTTTATAATTTATTAACTTAACATCGCCACGTGACTGTTCCGTAAAGTTATATCGTTACATGAGTTTAAGCTTGTATTTGCATTACCGTAGAGATGGTCAACCTTTATTTCTCAACTTGACAATTTTTTTTAAATATATGTAGAGTCATAGACTTGCCGTGAAACCATTTTGACTTTTTAATTATTGGAAATTTTGCGTAGCGTAATCATTCGCGTATACTTTCTATGGAATAACTAATTCGCGCTCTTATTTTATGCATAATTATTTTTTAATCTGTAAAAATATTGTATCGCGCCTTTAGTTCGTCATCCCTGGACTAAAACATCTTCGGAAATCTATAGAATAGAACTAGGTTTATTATAAGAAAATCTTTATACGAAAATACATATGAAAATTTGAGAATTACAGATTAAAAATCTATCTTTTCTTATTTAATTGATACTTATCATAGAACCTAACCTTTAGGCAAGGTCACGAAGATACTGGCAGCGTTCCCCCTTTGGAAAGCTAAACTAATTCTGTCCGAGGTAGCTGCCAGCTCTTCGGTCCCCTGTGATGTCGATTATTTTTTTGGATATTATACTTAAAAGTCTATTGATATCTGAAATAAATTAATTTACGTAAGGTCTATTCCTAATATTATTATTACTAGTCTACTAAGTTTTAGAAACACAGTTCAATTATGCGAAAATAAACTCTTTTCGATGTGAATAAGACGCAAAATGTTTCATTTTGTGTTATGTAAAGCGGTCACAAGAACGCTGTTAAATCAATAGTATACCATTGCTATTCCTATTTTTGGATTCGTATCATATTCTAGTACAATAATATTGAAATCTTACTAAAAATATAAACGGGAATATTTAGATCTATGGATGGATGGATGTTTGAATATCTCCAAAACGAATCAACAGATCTCGATGAAATTTGGCATACATATAGAATTTATATTCTATATGTAGAACACGTAGGCTACTAATTATGTTTTTTTTATTTCCGTGCGGACGCAATCGCGGACGACAGCTACTATAAGATTATGTAAATCTTTGAAACTAACTCAGAGTTGCTTAGCGTCGCGTGTATCGCGCAGCACGCGCGTACACAGTGATGAATCGGCGACCCAAGTTGTCTGCGACTGAGCATTACAAAATATTAATTGTATTTGTTTAAAACATACA